CTAGATTGAAGAACAAAACGACAGCAACTTGTCTGTTCCCCTTCCCCCAATTCCCCAGCGCTGTTCCCATCCCCCCAATTCCCCAATAAAAATATTTTTTTTTATTAAATGAAAAACCTCATTGAGATATGGGATAGCATTAGGCAACCTACAGCTCATGTTATTAAAGTCTTCAGTGAAGAAGAGAGAGGAGGAGAACTAAATCTTTGAGAAAATAATGGCCAAAATTTTTCCAAATTTGGTTGAAACTATAAACACACATATCAAAAAATCTCAAATAATCCCAAACATAAAAATCATAAAGGAAACTCCACTAAAGCACATCGTAATCAAATTACTCAAAACTAGTGATAAAAAGAAAAATCTTAAAAACAGTAAAAGAAAAATAGAAAAATTACATACAGAAGAACAAATAAAAGAATGACAGCATAAATGTCTAATCATTATGTTGTTTTGTACACCGGAAACTAATAAAAAAATAAGGAGAATAACAGCAGATTTCTCACCAGAAACAATGCAAGAAGAAACTATCTTTTTTTCACATATTACATGATTCCTATGTGAAGAAGTCCCAAGGAACCTACAACAAAATTCCTATAGTTAAATTTAGCAAGATCACAGAACACAGTATACAAAAATGCAGTTGTATTTCTATATATTAGCAATAAAGATTCAGGAATTAAATTTTTTAAAACATTTATAATAGCAAAAAAAAATGAAAGCTTTAGAGATAAATTTGACTACAGATGTGTGAGACATGTCTCTCAAAACTACAAAGCATTAATTAATGAGAGAAATTAAAGAAGAGTGTAAGTGTAGAGGTATATTGTGTTCCTGGATTGGAAGACTTAATATTGTGATAATGCCAATTCTCCCCAAAATGGTCTATGGTCTCTGCAATCCCAAACAACATCTAGCAGGGTTTTGTTTGTTTGTTTTTGTAGATATTGACAAGCTAATTTTAAAATTTTTGAAAATGCAAAGTGATCTTTCCTTCCCGATTTCCTCCCCGGTGCATTTCAAGTGCTATCATCAGACATGGAGACATAGCCTTAAAGAGACTGCTTAACCAGCCCCCACAATTGCACAAGCCAATTCCCTTTAACAAGTCTCTTTAAAATGTATGTTCCTGCCCCCACTGGTTCTGCTTTTTGGTTGAACTGTGACTAATATAGATACAGGGTCCAAACTATCTAGTTCCATATATATAAAATTGTAGAAAACAAATCTATATATTAAAAAACAACAACACACAAACAAAAAACAAAACTGAAAGTGCCTGGGGTTGCAGAGGAGCAGGGCGGGATAGGAGATAGGAATTATAAAGAATGAAGAAACAACGTCAGGAGGTAATGGATATGTTTATTATCTTGATTGTGGTGATGATTTCACAGGTGTATATATGAGTCAAAACCTATCAAATTATCACATTAAGCGTGTACAATTCATTGTATGTCAAATCTACCTCAGTAAAGCTGTTGATTTTTTTGAACGCAGGCAAGAGTTGGCATGCCCCAAAACGAACTTCCTAGTTCAAGCTGCCTAGAAATAAAATTCTAGGAGTCTTTGGGCTTCATTGTGCCACCTTTACTGTGTAGAGGAAGTAGTAGAAAATATAACATTTAGTGATGGGAAGCTGATTTAATTCATCCTTAAGAAAGACATGGCATATTTCAATCTTGGGAGAAAATATAATAAAATGTGTTTGCCTTTTTCTGTTATCTATACTTCTGTATTTTTCTATTATAGACATGGAATAACTGTATTATGGAAATAAAAAATATATATATGGCACAGGGCTGGCTGAGTAGCGCATGGTTAAGAACTGGCTTGGGACGCCAGAGAGCCCCGGTTTGGATCCTACATATGAGGGCCAGTGACACTGCCCTCTACAGCTAAGATGCTGAACAGCAGCTCAACCTGGAGCTGGGCTGCTGTGAGTCGCCGGTGACGGTGTAGGCTGCAGCCCCTGTGGCAGTGGGTTGCCATGGGTTACCGTGTGTAACCAGCAGCAAGCGTGAGCGGCCAGCAGCCACAGTGAGTGGCCGTCCAGAAGCCGGCGACTGATCTGCCTCACCCGGGAAGAGCGCAATGATGGTGCCAGCTTGGGCCAGTGAAGCAATGTCCTCAACTAGAACAAAAGGACAGCAACTTGTCTGTTCTCCTTCCCCCAATTCCCCAGCTCTGTTCCCATCCCCCCAATTCCCCAATAAAAATCTTAAAAAAAAAATGCTAATTAACATGGTAAAACATATGCATGTATAAAAATCACTGGTAATGTAAAGAAAGAAATACCAATAAATCAGTCAATGTTTCAGCAGATACTACTATCCTACCACATACGTGAGCATTCCTTTTCCTGGAGCACTGAAGAGGAGCTAGTGGGGGAGGATTTGGGGATTCAGGATTCCAGTTGTGTCCTCTCCTCTTTAGAGATGAGAGTTAACAATCACCAGCCATTCCCCTATTAAATAAGGCGAGAGGACAGTTTTTTATAAAAACATTTATTTTGAAATTTTACATAATCTTTGGGTAATTCAGAATTAGCTTAGGCATTTTTCAGAAGTTTCTGAGATTGATGTCTCAACTGCAAACCATAGTTTATTTGATTGATTAAAGGATTAGAGGACCTCATAGAAAAGGATGAAGCGATTACAACTGAGGGAGACAAAGCACCTTAGAGACAGGGGCTTTCCTAAAATAGTCATGATTTTAAAAAATTATTTGTAACAAATATTAAACACCTCACCAGACCAACGGTAATACCCTTATTTGCATTTTTACTAGAATTTCCATATAAAGAGAACACAGAAATAAAAGTTCTGTAGACTTCTGAATCACACTTCAATTAATTTGATCCCTTATATTACAATAACTAAAAGCTACGTAGCATCTACCCAGTGTAATCTCAGTGTTCACACCAACATCTATCTCCTGCTGACAGAATGCCACCTTCCTCTGCGCTCAGTGTTCATGATTCAAAGATTGCAATGAGTATGTCAAATCAGAACAAGCAGCAAGCCAGGAATTCATGAGCCCTGAGAGGCAGAAAAGACTCGTTCCACACAGCAGTTAGTGGCCCAAGGGCTCTTCCACCCGTCCCCAAGCAGAATCAGGCTTGGGCTGCAGGTAGGGTAAAAGAGAGGTACGTTCTGCACCCTCCACTACCTTGGATGGTTTACTGGGTTTTCCAAGCAGGGTAGTTGTTGTTTTCCAATGGGACAGTTAATTGTCTAAGGACAGGGTTCCATCTCTGGTCTCCCTCAAAGCAGAGTGCTGCTCAGGTGTGAGCACAGGGCAGGTCCTTGTATGGAGCACCAGCTAGGTGCCAGAAACAGAGCCAGGGCAGGTGTTTCATGTGACCCTCACAACAACCCTGTGAGTAGGCTCATCCATCCCATTTTACAGATGTGTAAACAGAGGCTTGGAGAAGAGAATTTGCTCATGGTGGCATAGCTAGTAAATAGGGGAGCTTTAATCTGAAAACCCAGCCTCCTCCCACTGCCTATAGAAGCTGAGGGGTTGGCAGCAGATGAGTACTACAGCTCACAGGCAGCTGGGCCAGAGCTCAAACATTAGACGCCCTTGAGCATGCGGGGCCAGCTTCAGGAGTCCAGAAGCCTGGGGCTATGAGCTCTGGCTCTACAACATTACTTAGTGTCCTTGAGCAAGTCCTTTACCATCTCCCTACCAGGGTCCTGTCCAGGATGGCTCTCCACCAGGGAGAGGAGATGAGCATCACCATCTGGAAAGCATGCTTACAGTCTACAGAGGGAGAGCCTCTGCCGGGAGACTGCCCCTGCTCCCTTGCTGGGGGGTTGGAGGGCAGGGTCATCTGACCCACCTTGTGATAATCTGTCGTGGTCACTCAAGTTCTGACCTCTGAGAGCAACTTTAAGTTCTAGGTATCCACATCCCCACTCCCTGAGAGACCTTTCACAGAAGGCCCATAAAAGTAAAAGAAATTGGGTCAGGATACTTTTAAAGGAAAAAATGCTTAGAAGTAATTTAGGAGGGGAAAAAAAACAAGATGGCAGTTAGGAGGAGGTTTGGGTGTGGGCATTAAAAAGAAAGAGGTGGATACAGTGTGCAAAACCCAACTGGTAGGATAGTGTCAGGTCAAGTTAGGCTGAGCCTGGAAAAATCAGGATTTTGGCATCGTGCTTGCCTGGTGTCTGCCATGGGGCTGCACTTGCTGCCTCAGACATAGAGAGGGGATTTCCTCAAAAAATAATTTCAGCCTAAAAATTCAGGCAAATCTTAGAGAATAAATAAATAAAAGCAGAAATGAAACCACAACTCAAATGACTACAAACATCTGTTTGCCATGTTCCTCCTCTTCCTGTAAAATCTACTGCATGGCTCCAGCTCTGTGAAGCCCACTGTGACCACAGACCCAGTAAGTGTGTGCCCCGCCCCCCTCGGTGCACAGACAGCATAGCAAGCCTATCTCTCTACAGACCCCCAGGGCACTGAGTTCACTGAATCCTACCTGTCTGTCACTCCCACTGAACTGTGAGCAACTTGAGGATGGAGATTGTTTCTCTACCTCCATTACCATATAGAGAAGGACACGGGTTCATCAAGACCCCTTGTACAAAGGGGCCAGCCGAGTAGCTCAGTTGGTTAAGAGCTCGCTCAAGAGTGCAAGCCCTGAGCAACAGGGTTGCCAGTTCGATTCCTGGCCTGAGCTGAGCTGCCGCTGAGCTGCCAACTGGTGGCAGGATGGCTCAGTTAAAAAAAGAAAAAATGAAAAAAAGACCCCTTGTACATAAGCACCCAGGCTAAGGACCAGGCAAACCAACCAGAGTGATAGAAACACGACCTCTCCTGGGAGCATGTACCTCGGGAGCAACTGTGTTCTGGAGGAATCGAGCATGTTTCCTATGCCCTGTGGTACTTCCTTACCCCCCAGAGCCACTTACTGGCCTCCCAGAGCGACTCTTTACTAAGTATAATCATAATTCGGGAGAATTTCTTTAAAACATGAAATCAATGTCTAGGTGCAGATTTCAAGCAATATAGAGTGCTGGTTTGTGAGAAAAACATCATTTAGGTGGGGAAAACCGCCCAGTTTTGGGCAGCCCTGGTAGGAAACGGGGATCTTGCATTTACTGGTCCGGAAGGAGGGGAGGACGCGGTCTGCCTCAGACACGGGCGCTGTGTCTGTACATGGTGTGGCAGGAGGCTTTGGGCTCACACACCTCTCTGGCTATGGGACAAGCGGGACCTGGCTCCTTGCCCTTGGGATCCTGAAGTCCCAGGGCTCTTATGGACAGAAGACCTAGAGTGCAAGGAGCAGGCAAGGATTGTTCGGGAACATGGTCTTCCCAGGCCCAGGGTGACCAAAAGACAGGCTATTAAATGCCTGATGGAGAGGGTGAGGGACCTAGCCAGGGAGCCCACACTCAGCAGTGAATGCTCCGAAAGCCAGGCAAGGTGGCCTTTCCAAGCAGGTAAATGTCCTGGTCCGTGCCCTGGTTGAGGTGCTTCACCAGATTCTTCTCAAAGAGGAGCGGGTGGTAGGCGCCCATCGTGCAGGCACTGTCGAAGAACTTCTGGTAGTAGTAGCATATGTCCGTCTTGCGCTTGGATGGGAGGAACTCGTAAACATCCACCTGGTCACACAGCGTCATCATGATGATGATGCCTGGAGAGGGGAGCAGAGGTGAGTCCTGCTCAACAACCCACCCCACATCCTGGAGCTCTGCCCAATGAGCCCCCAGCTAATGACCCAAAATTTGGGGAGGTATCTACCTGGATTTCTAGTTATGACTATGATTCCCAGCCTGAGTGCTCCGGGTAAGCCAATCCAGCAGGCTGTTTCTGGAGGGCCGCTGAGCCCTACGTACTTTTATGTCTCCAGCACACAAGCCAGGACCCAGTGCATGGTAGGTCCTCCCTAAACACTAGTGGATTGAAGAACTCCATCAGTCAATGAATTTATCCGTGTGGATAAGCTATACGAAAAGAGAGGACAAAGTGACTGAGGAGACAGTACCATCACATGTATATAGTACTTTTACCACTTTTATGTCCCGGAGGAACCACTTAGATGGTGCTATGTGGGAGAAGGTATTTTTTATGATACTTGCAGGAAACAGTGTGGTGAGGAAAGACTGTTTTTCCCTCAACTGAGAGGAGGGACAATTAGAACAGGAACACACCATGGCCTATAATGATTGGTTCTGCTCATTCAGGCAGGAGATTAGAGCTGAGGGGGTGGGGCCAGGTTGGTGCTCTCAGGGAGGGAGAGCAGACACTGTGATGCAAACCCAACAAGAGTCAGGAGACTGCTGTTGCCATGCACTTGTCCCCAGCTGGCTCAGTTATCTGGTGCAGGATATGTCCTTTTCTGGGCCTCAAGTTCTTTATCTGCCCCAAGGGTGTGCTCTACCTACTCCTCCTATCACACAGGCTATTGTTAGGATGAAATAAAATTATGGATTTAAGACGCCTTTTGTCAACCATAATATAGAGAATCTTAATGATGAAGCACTTCTCACTAACAGCAAAACTATAAACTGCTCGCAGCAACTTTGTTATAGAAGAATTCAATGTGGAAAAAGCCCTACTTCTGCCCTCCAGCTGCCCCTGGTCCAATGGGGTAGAAAAGACAGAAAGACACCTCAGCAATTAATGGATGTAGGCACAGCAGAAGTGGTGCTAGAAATATTCAGAAGGAGCACTTCCTATGAAAGAGGGCTCGAGTCAACCTCCCGGTTTACTGGTGTGGAGCCTGGCAGGAGACATGGCCATGAGGGCTGGGCAAGAGAGGGGGACTGGTGGTGGAACAGCATGGGCCAAGGCAGGGGAACTGGGCAGCGGGAAAGTGTGTTCGCCGTGATGCCTCCACAGCTAGTCCTGCTCAAAAGGAAGCAGCCCCAAATGCACCCTTCCAAAAGTTGAAGGCAAAGGTATAAAGATGTGATATTATAAGAGCCCCTGTCTCTTTTTATAAGGACTGTTTCTGATATTAAGCATGTATTTGCTCATTTACTCAGGGAACATTTACCACAGGGCTATCCTGTGCCAGACACACAAGATGAGTCAAACACAGTCCCCACCCTGAGGGAGTTTGCAGTTTAGCAGGGAAGGTGGGCAGGTGAATTCCACAATGGTGATTGGCTGGGGCCATCGGTGAGGAAGTGGTCTGCTGCGGGGGCCAAGAGGAAGGAGCTTTCCTTCCTGTGCACACACAGAGCCTACGGCCTCATGGACATTGCTCGTGGTCCAAGCAAACTCAAAGTGAAAGGAAGGGAGCGCAGACATACTGTCAGGGCCGAGAAGGGTGGAGAAAGCCCAAGAAGGAAGTCTGTAGCCGGTATTCAGGGCCCCCTGCACTCTGACCTCAGCCCACTCCTCATCAGCTCCCACAGCTCCATTCATGGCCCCCCAAACCCAGTCAAGCTTCACTGCTCATCTTTTTCTCAGGGCCATGACTAGGGTGTTCACTAGGGTGAACAATTTTTTGAAATTTTGAATAAAGTATTATTGATTCTTCTCTTTTCCTCAGATTCCAATATGGCTCTACAAGACATTATCAGTGATCCTGTCTTTATTTAAATTTTTGATATTTCATTCATCATAAAATTTTCACATTAATTATGATTTTTAAAGAATATTGTACTAAGATGTTATTTCTCTTGTTACAGAATTTTTGACACCCCCTTAAATTGTACCCAAGGCAAGTCCTCACTCATCTTATCCGCGTCCCGCCCTGTTCCCTTGATTTCCCTGCCTCCCCTCTTGTCTGTGCTTCCCTTTACTCCAGCTCCACCTGCCAAATCCACCCCCTCACAGGTCTGATTCAAAGCTACTCCTCCACGAAGCTCTTGGACTGTCCGCCTAGACAGGGTTCTCTCTCCTGTGGCACCAGGTGGTCACTCTCTCCTGGCACACACTGAATGTTGCCTCAGATACCTGACTGAATTCGCCCAATGAACAGACTAAAGGAGAAGGATTCTATTTTATTAATCTCTGTATCTGAGCTAGAAATGGGCCCAGTGTACAAACACAGCAAAAACCTAGCAATTGTTTGGTGAATGAACAAACAAACCAATGAACAAACAAGTGAAGGAACAAATGAATGAATGAGATGCCAAAAGAAAACTAATCTCTTCTAGGAACAAACAGAAGCAGTCCTTCCCCAGACATGGACTCACCGAGCATCCCAGAAGACGGAGGGTTCGGCTGAATTGCCTCTGGGGAGATTTCTTGAATGATGTCCCACAGTTCCCAAGGCATCTGGGGCTTGAGGATGTAAAAGGGCTGGTCAGGGTGTAGCTTCCGGTAGTTCTTGTAGTTATCAAAGAATCTGTAGTCAGGATGCTGGTACCACTGAAAAACAAGGAAACAGTCTCAAGGGGAGAAATGTGCCAGTGCCGCTGCTGCCCCAAGGAAGTCATCTTCATCTGAGCACTTCGAGGGGAGGTGGCAAAGGACCAAGGTAGAATCCTCAGGCACAGCCCCTTCCCCGGAGCAGATTCTAGACTTCTCTTCTACATCACAGCTCTCACTAGATAGCAGAGGGGACCCAGCATGTAGCCTGTGCTCACAGGAAATTCTGAGCTTGGTGATGATGGGACAGCTTCAGACTTGAAGATCAGCATCTGGGAATTATATCAGTGCTGAAAGGGGCCCTCGACACCATCTAACCCCACCTCTCATTTTTATTCTTAAAGCAGTGAACACCGGGACACAGCTTGCCACATCTGTGGGTTCTGAGTCTTTGTCCTGACCCAGGCAAATTTCAGTTCGAAATGAGATCAGTGCAAAACTGTGGAAACCGAGGTAGTGAGGATGTGAGGGATCACTAGGGCCTGTTAGCTATTGGTGTACCCAACTTAAGAATTCGGTGTCCCATGAACAGGGCTCCTTGTCCTTCCTAAAGCCGTTCTCCTTCCTGTAGCCACTGCAGCCCACATCAGGGAGAGGCCAACTGACGTGCATGGCACACAGTAAGAGGACCATTCCAGAGAGGCAGGGGGTCCAGCAGGTCTGAGGCGCCTGTCTCCTTCCCTGAATGAGCTGATGTTACAGATCTGGCCCCGCGCTTAGTAAATCAAGTTCCTGGGGCAGGTGACTTCCCTCTCCACATTCCGGCTTCCTCATTTGTAAAACTGAAGCGAACATCCTTCTGTACACTTCCTCATGTTGTTATGAAAATTAAATGAGAAGAATTCTGGAAACTGGAAGTATGGAACACATGCGGTACTATTTACAGAAATAATGTAATCACTGTCTGCTGGTAATAACCCTTTCTGCTGATGCTCATCAGGAATAATTGTATTAATTGTTATATTACTCCAGATGGTGAGAAGCCAGCCACTATTACTCCTGATATAGACCATAGTTAGAAGACCAATACAGAATAATGTGGAACACGGAATAGAGAGCACTGCTATAGGACAGGAATACTTCTGAATTGCTGGTCCAGGCGAAATAGGGTGTCTTAAAACTACAATAGCTAGTCGTCAGGGATGGCCCAGGGCAGCAATGACTAGAAAAACCCAAGAACTCAGGAAAATCAACAGGCAAGCAAGAGATTCAATCCCTATTTCCATGAACACCCACTTACCTTTGGGATATCTGAATGGTAAATAGACGGGTCCCACACAATTAGGATTCCTTCATTGTACAAACTGTCTTTAAGGAAGCCTTCTCCTGTGGTGACCAACTGCAGGAAGAAACGGATAAGCTGTCACTTGGACATTTACATGTAAACCTTCGGCTTGTAATAATAACGGATGCACCACACGTGAGGCCCCAGAGCCCTGTGAGGCTTCTAAGTTTTGATGCAGCATGTAACTTCAGTGAGAAGAAGGCAAAGACGCCCACTGGAACCATGTGGACCCGAAAGGGCATTTTGTCATAATCTATCAGCCATAGAGCAGAAAGGGTTCCACTCAGACTTCGAGATTAATGGGGCAAGGGTACAGTGTAATCCCTGCAGTCATACTCCACGTGGGGATCAAGGCGGTGAGGCTTCAAGTCAGAATTTCATATAACCAAAATAACCTCTGGAAATCCCTTCAATTTCCTATAATGTATGCAGTATTTACACATCACGATGGAGATAGACACAGTACTTCTCACGAGGCCAACACAGCCAGCGGTTTCTCTGGCATTGGAACAGATGGCTATGTCTGTGGTTGCGCATTAAATGAAGTATTGTTTATATATATTTTGATGTTCCACCTCTGGAATGTCTACCTCTGAACCTCTTTTTTTTTTTTTTTACATGAGAGAGAAATACATTTTTATCTTAAGATAGTGTTTAATGGGTAGGCAGAGTGTTCCTGTCCTTTGCAGTCAAACCTAATTCTGATTGGTACAGAGAGTAGCTTGTTTGGGAACTACAGATTGTCCAGTCATGGCTAGGATACCAAGGGAGAGCCAGAAGGGATCAGAGAAATTTAGACAGGGGTCATGCCAGGGAACTTTGGGTTTCTTCAATAGGTTACAGGACCTGTGAAAAGGGATCTAAACAGACTAGTGTTCTCGACTAGAGCTTGTAGAGAAAAGAAGACCAGGTAGAATCTGCTATTGTAGCTTGAATAGGAAATGATTGAGGAATAAGGAAAAAGAGTTACAACTGTCAGTAGTAGACTTGCAGACTAACTGGTGTTAAAAGTGAAGGAAAAGGGGTTCAAAGGTGATTCCTGCACCTCAGACCATTTCTTAAAAGGAAAACATAGAAAGAGGAGCAGCTGGTATGTGCCTATGGGGATGGAGTGGGGATTTGAAGTTCAAAGATGAGATAAGTGGCTTGGAGTCCTACAGCTGAGAGGCCATAGGAACTAGAAATGGAACCCACATCTTACAACTTTAAGCTCTGTCCTCTTTCCATGGAGACACTCTAACTCACAGCACAGGCATTCAATGCTGTAGCCCAAAGGCAGAGCACAGGCATCGGCAGATTGGGGCTTTTAAAGACTGAGCTGGTGACAATGAGGCCCAGGAGACAGCAGGCTTCCCCCCCCCCCGCCCCCCACTATTCTATACATGTCTTCCAACAAAGAATTCTACAGCTTCGTTCCCTACCCTCATCTCACTCTGTTCCCCTCAAAACAGCTGGCATATTATAAGTCTTTTCTTGAGCTGTGCTTCTTTCTACACAAAGTATAAATGCCAGGTGGTTTATATGTACTCATGAGGATTAGAGATAACTGGGATTTTAAAAAATGTCTCCTGCCACAGCTCCTCTCCAGCAATTTTCTTATCATCCAAAGTAGGGGCCCAGTGGCAGCAACTTCTGGCACTCTGAGACCTTCCCTGTGGCTTCTCTGTCCTCAGAAATCCCAAGAGAGATGCACAAAGTTTTCACCTATACAATAAAGGGTAATAGCAGTGATAACAACATATGCCATTTAATGATGCTTATTCCAAGCCAAGTACTTTCAGATACTATCTCAATTCATCTTCATGACAGCCCTAGGAGTTAATTATTAATATCCCCATTTTTATAAATGACTCAGAGATGCTAAGTAACTTTCCCAAGCCATATAGTAATAAACTGGAGAGTCTGAATTAGAGCCCTCCTGTCTGACTCCAGACGCCACCCTTCTAATCTATATACTGTGCTGCCTCACACGAGGAGGCATGGCTCTTGCAAATAAATGGCAAAGAAAGCATTTGATGAGGGGTATGGAAGTGTCATGAGAATTTTTGCTTTTTGCCTGAGTGGTAGTGTGTCTCAGCTGGAAGATTCTCGAGGGACTATATCCAAACCCATCATTTTCAGATGGGTTAGCTGAGGTCCGGGGTAAAGACAGATTGTTTGAGGCTTCCAGGTGAGTTTGAGGCAGAGCCAGGACCAGAGGTGGGCTCCTACCAGAGTGCTGTTTCTGTTCCCACAAGCTCCATTCATAAACCATGGGATACTGAAACAAGCCAGCGCCCTGTCAGGATCTGGGCCACCCTCAGTTCCCACCACCCACAGTGGGAAAACAGCCATTTACTTCAGCTACTTGAAGCAAATGTAAAAGTAATCCATGAAATTGAAAAGATGTGAAGATAAATGCTAGTTTCATCCCAAGAGGAGAAACAAAGTGTCCAGAACTAGGATCTGGTAGATGGAAAGGGGAGATGCCAGCAAGCACCCTTTGACCTTAAACGGACATGACTCTTAATTTACCACATTAATTCTGACAGCCCTTGATGTTACTTCAAAGAGTTTCTAAACAAACAAACAAAAAAAGAATGCCTCAAAATTGCTCAGGGGAATTGGGAGACTGCTTTGTGTCGAACTCACTCTGTGGTCTTGGGTGGGTCACTTCCCCCTCTAGGCCTCAAGGGCTTTATTTATAGGACATTAACATCCTGGAGGACCTGCCCAGATGCCCAGGTGACCAGCTGTGCCCAGACAACATCTCAGTCTGTCATTTTTCCAACTGCAGCAGAAGGCAGTTGGGGGAGAATACTTGTCAAGCTCCTCTCAAATGCACCTGTACTTCTACCCATGTGCAAAGTCTAACCTGAGCCCAGGGATCCCAGGGGACCTCATGATGACGAGAATAAGTCATTGCCAGAGCAAGAGATCTCCAAGGAACACTTGCCAGGAAAAGGCTACACCAGGGACATGGAATGTTGCTGTTTTAGCAACCTATTTAAAGTAAACTTTCTAGTCATAAAGTAAGAAACACTCACTGCAAAAACTTAGAAAATACAAGAAAACACACACATCTATATATACAAAAAGAAGAAAATAATAAGCATCCATAATTACATTCTTCAGATATTACCATTGTGAATATGTTGGGGGATTTTTTTTCCTTGTTATGGACTGAATTGTGTCCACCCCCTCCTCAAATGCATATGTTGAAGTCCTACCTCCCCAACATGACTGTACTGGAGATAGGGCCTTCAGGGAAGTATTTAGGTTAAATGAGGACAAAAGGATGGGGCCCTAAACCGATAGGACTAATATCCTTATAAGAAAAGAAAGAGACACCAGAGATCGCTCTCTCTCTTCACATGCATGCAGAGGAAAGGCCATGTGAAGACACAGAGCGAAGACAATCATCCATGAACCGGGAAGAGACCCCAGCCTTGATGGCACCTTGATCTTATACTTCTGGCCCCCAGAACTGGGTGAAAAAAAAAATAACATTTCCCCCCATGTATAAGACGCACCCCTTTTCAAAAAATTTGGGGTCTAAAAACTGGGTGTGTCTTATTATAGTGGTTGTAAGAGTGCAAAAACAAGCTGCGAAAAAAGCAGGAAATGCAAGTTAAAAAAACTACAACCACAGTATAAGACGCACCCAGTTTTTAGACCCCAAATTTTTCAAAAAAGGGTGTGTCTTATACATGGGGAAATATGATAAATCTCTGTTGTTTAAGCCACCCCATCTGTGACATTTTGTTATAGCAAGCCTAGGAAATTATGCCTGTGTGTGTGTGTGTGTGTGTGTGTGTGTGTGTGTGTGTGTAGATATTGATATATCTTAACTTATAGAGTCTAGACTTAATGGTTTTGTTAAACTCACACAACAATCCTGATCAATGTCTTCTCTTTATTCCTCACAATATTTCCAAGCCACAAACAGGGCATGAAAAGGAAGCTCTAAAAGATTATATAACTGGCCAAGATCACACAACTAGGAAAGGATGGAGCTAGGTAGGATACAAATCAAGGTCTGTCTGATCTTTTCCCACTATACCAGGCAAACTTCATTCAAAAATGTTAAGTGATGATAAAACAAAGTGTATCCTGGCTGCCAGATTTGCAAATTTACCAGAGTTGCAAAGCAAGTTAGTACTATAGGAAGATAGACAAAGGGGTAGTCAAGGTCTTGATTGGATAATAAGAGTTATATGGAGGTTCTGGGCCTTAAATGAGTGCCTGATCATTGTAAACTGGACCTGGATAGGAGGTGCTCTGAAAGAAGGGGACCACAAACCCCCACAAACTCCAAATCTACCTATAATTCTACCAGGCATCACAGGAAGCCATCAAACAAACTATAAAGCATCAGAGGAAATAAATTTTGTAAAGCACTTAATGTCCAAGCAACAGAGATTGATAGAATAAGCTATGAAACTTATCCACAAAGAAGTCCTATGCAGCTATAACAAAGAGTGAGAAAGATCTCTATAAACTGATATGGATTGATTTCCAGAAGATATTGGGGGAAAAGCTGAGTATACAGAATATATATTCCACTATATTTTGTGTAAGAAATGAGGGGAATTAAAAAAACATGTATATACATCTATTTGTCTTTACAAATAGAAACACAGAAGGATAGATCAGAAAACACTAAAATTGGCTACCTACAAAAGTGCTGGTGGAACAGGGTGGAAGGAATTTAGGAAGGAGTAACCCTTCTCAGAGTATACCTTTTTGATAGTTTTGAATTTTGGAAGCATGTTAATATTCTTCATATTTTAAAAAGAGGAAGGAAAAGAAAATCTAAAACTGAAATAAGATGAATGCAATTGAATTTCAAATGAATTCAATCATCTTAGTGAAGAGAAACAGAAGAACTGATTCAGGTAACATAGGTACATATTATTTGACTATATACGTAACCTCAGGCTTAGGAGGGGTGTGGAAGAAAACTACAAACATCCTGGACTTTCTTTAGTAGGTCTGTTTTATGTACAAGATATACAAAACAATTTGCAAACTATTTTAGATCTATTGTAAATTGAAGCAAATAACTAAATATG